TCACTTAACTTTTGTACAGCAATTTACGAATCTGAAAGTATTACAGCACTATGGCGGACGTCGGCTTCACGTTGAATGATCTCTTTGAGTTCTTCGGTAAGTCGGTGACAGTTTGTTGTGGTTGAAAAGTCAGTTTAGTTCTCACTTGTTGATATTTTCTCCTTCTCACTTTCTTTTAGCACTGAAAGGAGGCAAGGTGGTGTACAGCGAGATTGTCACCAACTTCAAGAGTGCACTCTCCAACCCGGAAACACTAGGTAACACAAAAGTTGTCTGCTTGCTGTTTAACTTTCCTTTCTAAAATGTCCGCTTTTTCTCCTCATCTGAAGCCGAAGCGAGAAACCAATTCAAAGATCATGTGAACACACTGGCGACGGTGACGAATGAAAATGTAAACTTATTTTTGCACCATCATCATTGGCGAGCGATTGACTTTTACCATTTGTTTATTCTTTTCCTTTTCTACATTTTTTATTTCTAGGGAACAAAGTACCTGGTACTTCGACCAAAATTCATGAAGAAGCTGGCCACACTAGCCGATGAGAGCTTCCACAACAACCACGCTTCTTCACGGACAACTAATATGATTCCAATTGTGCCAAACTCATCAGCAAATGCAGTTAGCAATGTTCCACAGAAGCAGCCACCACCTCCGCCATCACAACCATCACAACCAGTCCTCCCACCACAAGCTCAGTACCCGCAGTATTCACTCCCTCAAGCTCATTCTCAACCTCAGTATCATCATCATCACCATTCCAATGGCAGCAATGGTGCCAACCACTTTGAGGCATCAGCAGCAGCAGCTCAAATGGTAACGAGGCCATCTCACCTGATGATGATGAACAACGGCGCCAACAGCAGTATGAGCAGCAGCAACAACGGTGTGATGGGAACACCGTCTTCTAATTACAACCACCACCATCATCATCATCAACCTCATCTTCACCAGCCAAACCAAAACATACATCACCAGCAGCAGCACCTGCAGCATCAGCACCTGCAGCAGTCGTGTCCCGGTGACTCAGCACCGAGGAATGTCCCCTCGAGTGCTCCACCACTACCGTCAGTCTCCTTTTCTCCACTTACCGGCAGCAGTAATAACCACTCAAAGGCGGAAGGCAGCTCCACCACTTGCACGCCTCCGATGACTCCTGGTGACTCGCCTGACGGCTCAGAGGCACCGCCGAGACCGCCGCCACGGAAGAAGGCCAGCTTCTCCAAGCAGAGCAGGCCAACTCTACCACCACCACCATCGGCTACCATCCACCAGGCGTNGCCGCCACGGAAGAAGGCCAGCTTCTCCAAGCAGAGCAGGCCAACTCCACCACCACCACCACCATCGGCCATTCACCAGGCGTCTGCTGGTGCTGCACCTGTCCAAACCCCTCCTGAAGGAGCTCCACCTGCACCTTCAGCGGAGAACCAGGAAAATCAAAAGCCGGTGAGTTTGTCAGATGTTGTGTGTGTGGCTAATATGTGTCTTTACTAACCACTTAAACTTCAGCTTCCACCCACACCACAGGTGAGTGGCGGCACCCTAGAGAAGAAGAAGAACCACACCGTGAAGAAGGAGATTCAGGAGCTGGCCC